GTTAGCTTTATGTAAAACTATCATATTGCTGCACGAGATTTTCAACGAAGGAATCTCGTTCTAAAATTGATTAGACTCAAATAGAACTTCTCAAGCAGAATCGGGTTCCTTAAATTCCAGCACATATGCGTATTTATAGCTGGGGGTAATGAGAATAAAATTATGATTATTTTAATAACTGTCAGGATTTAACTCATAAAGCTAGGATTAGTGGAATAGTTTTGCTTAAGGGGCTACGAGTAGGTATGCATACAAGATTTTATAATCATTGTTTATGCGCATGGATGACCATTTTTAGGATTAGGTCATGAGTGCTAGAACAAATATTCACAGTTTACTGCAGTCACATATGTGTGTTACCTCCAAGTGCTGCAACATAAGTCGGATTCCTTGCAATTGGGTGGGTGTAAGAGTTTGTAGACTATCAGCAATAATGGTCTCCAATAGCGCCTGATAAAGACTCCGATCAGCTAGTTCAACAAAATGACAAATGGGCCTTCTCTCGCAAAGTGTCATCAGTTGAGTACGAGTTAGGTGATCATGATTAGGAGCGCTAGAAGCATTTTCAACAGTTCCACTACATGCAGTACCCACAAATCCATCGCCGATAATTGAATTGATGCCGCCTTCTGTAGTACATCCAGGGCTGCAGTTGTCCGTCCACTCCCCAGAAAGTGTACTGGAACATATTTTAGTCATACCAAGCTTTTCTCCGGATGTAAAAGAGAGGGAAGAAAGGTTTCCGCCAGGTTGGGGCTCAGAGGAATTTTCAGTTTTTAGCTGCAATCCAAAATAATAAGGAGATTTTGGTCACTCAAATATAAATTGTTTAGGATGATTAGGCCCAAATAACATTTTTTTTCGATGGTTAAGAATAATGGAGATTTATGATATTAGCATTTATCAAAGATTTAAAGACAATAAGAGAAGAACTGAGTTTAGCAATCAAGGAAAAGTTATTCCTTTTTTCTTCTATTTCTCATTTTCCCACTCTTCTGGCCGTCTGAGAATATTAAAACGATTGCCTTTTATAAGCCAATCAGACTGTGAATTAGAGTTGGAGAAAACGTGGTTTGCGATGAAAGTCACATCCTCCATGAGTTTCAATCAAAGTTGTGCTGTTTTGAGGAATGATTAATTATTGATATTCGACATGCACAACCTGGCTTATAACCTCGTTGAGGGTTGTTTGAAGGTGATAGCTATGTGCTAGGTAATGTTAAAATTAATTCAGTGGAATGATGAGGTATTCACCATAAAAAAATTAAGTATACGACCTCAGATGCCTTAATTTGACCCTCACTCTTAAAATATGTCTATTTAGCATTTTAAAACATATTCAGTTGCTCTATAGGAACAGAAAATCCAAATTTACAGCCCTATAACCTTTTGTAAAGCACCAATTTATCAAGAAGAATGGAAGATGGAATCCCTCTAATAAAATCGCTATTATTATACTCGATACTTAGTCGACAAGAGATAACATTATTCCTCTCTAAACAGAGTATCAAACGCATTTTGCACATTTAACCTCAATGACTAATTTTAAAAAATCAGCAAGAAATAAGGGCGCATAAAAGATTTTGAAACTTTTCATCACAAGAATGCTTCCCTTCAACTTAGTGAAAGTAAGCCAACTTTAGATAAGGATCAAAAGTTCGTGCTAATAAAAGTTTCGTTGGTCAATGGAAATACTCAAGAAGATTACTTGGTTCAACGAAGTAATTGTTATCGCTTTGTCATAATTTTATCCGCATTTTATGACCATAGTTTCGCCTTGACTACTATCTCGGTACCTAGTTGCGAAAGTGCAGAGTTAATTAGATCAGTCACTTAATTAACCTCACAGGCCTTCCAAAATAAAGCTGCAAAAGGCGTTAATTTCAAGCTCCCTCAGCAATTTCGGGAAATTAGAATCTAAATTAAGAATCTATATTATTCTGAGTTCATCTTACCGATAGGCTGTTTGCTATAATCGCTCTTAAGCATTCCCAATAACCTGACTCCTCAAGATTGCAAATACCTCATCAATTAGTTATCAAATTAAATCTTAAGAATAAGTTAATCTTTAACTTATCATTTAATATTTGTTTTAATTAAAGAGCTTGGCTTTTGAGATGGGAGCGTAGAATCGACTTTTGTTTATTTTCAACGAGTATTGCATCCTTATAGACTTCCTAGTTATGGTGAATTGAAAATATCATCAACGTCATCCAAGGGAATATAAATCGGATGTTGCATGATAAAAATGGAATACCACACTAAAGTGTGATAGAAGGTCTCTGAATGCGCTCTTTACGTTTGTTGAAATTTGAACTATTTTATTAAACTCATTTGGTTTGAACTCTTGTAACAACACCTGAACAGCATGCAAAGTGATAAACTCTCTTTATCACTGATTACAATATTTCTGGCCCAACATTAGGCAAATCCACACACTGTGTTCGGTGGCAGGGTTTACCAACTGAACATCAGATAATTTTGCACTATCAATTCATGCCTAATGCTTTTATCGTATCATATACGCATTACTTCTCTAAGCCTCATATTCATCCCAATTAGTAAAAAATATTTTTCGTATGTATGTGGAGTTTCGATACTACCAGTAAATCAGTAATATGAGATTTATTAACCCTATTTCGTTTAAGGTGATGAAGGACTAGTAATAGAATTTTCCCACAATGATATAAATAGAGCTAGTGGTTCCATTGAAGTTCATATAGCCTTGGTTTCGCAGTCCTTCAGCACCTTAAATGAAATAGGGTGAATACATATCATATTACTGATTTGCTGGTAGTCCCGAAACTCTACTTACATACGAAAAATAAGTAACGTAGTCGATTGTTATAGCAAAAATACGTGCTCTTCATTGACAATCCCACCAAAGAATGTGATATGGGAAAAGGCCTGGCCTTTCTCTAAATTCACATCTGCCATGTGACCCAAGGGCACTCGTAGCAATGTTGCCGAGTGGTTAGCGTGTCAAGCTCACATGCTGCACTGTCACGGTTCGACTCCCACTGTGGCTAGTGATAAGACCTATGCGAGGTCGAAGCCAAAAGTCTCTTATCAATCTTGAGGAATTTTTAATCCTTTTCTTGTATTACAAGTTGTCTATCAATGAGCAACTTATAGATAATTGCACTATTCCGACTAACGCTCTCTGAACAAGGTTAATCCAACTTGACAGCATGAATACACAGCCAAAACATTTTAAGTGTGAGAATGACCAGAAAAATTTAGTACTCCCAAAGGTATCTCCGAAAGAATAATGACTGCCAAAGGATGTCTTGAAAGTAAAAAAATATAATAGAATTGTCATTTTCAATAACAGAGAAGGGGAAAAATCGTTTTCATTTCACTAAGAAATTATGTAGAAGATTCACTTAACTAATCACCGTTGGTCTAAATCTCGTAACCGATTTTGCACAAATAAATGACAGCCAAACTAGTTCTTTTAGGCTTTTCATGCATGGGTATTTTGGGTAGCATGCTTCAAAATCTGAAGATGTTACATTTCAAATGACTTAATATCATGTCAGAATAAAGTAATCCAGATTGTAACTTAACGGCAAATAATTTGTTGGGGGGACTCTCATTTCGTACGAAAGTGCATGATGAATAGATTCGTAGTTCGATCTCACCAGAAGAGGACGGATGAATCCCGTTGTACCCCAGCCGTTTGGCTTTTATACGATGTTCAGGTTGACGCAGTCCACGAGACCTCCTCCTTCGTTTCGGGTGGAAACGGTTTGAGCCTTCGTCCATCAT